TTGGCTATGTCTGAGTAGATTCATATGTTAGATTTGGGGTTCAAATAGTTATGAGGGATTAGCCCCAACTATGGATTGTTGAGTTGTTATATTCATTATCCAAATGAACCCTAATGCTTACTCTAGACTTGCTACCTAGAGTATTGATTATGGAGTGACTAATCTAATAGTCATCTTCCTGAAATCATTTGGCTAAACTTAGACTCTATTAAGGCACGATGCGACAGCCGTCTGATAGAAATTCTTGGGTGAACACAGTTCGATCCGATCTGATACTTTATATCAATCGATACTCCTCTAGAGTTATCGATCGACGACAGCTTATATCGATCGACACTGCGATAGCAACATCGATCGATGAAGTCGGTAATCAGATCAATGGACGAGTCTAACTAGCGACAGCTATAGATTTGTCTAAGGGTTGAAGTTCTCATATATTTGCAAGCGATTCGTTAAGACATCCATAGATCTATAATCCTGATTTTCTGAATAGTAACCTTGAATCTAACTATTTATTTTCATTGTTTTCAAACCAAAACCTATTTTCATCAGCAACTTACCATTGCTACTTATTTTATTTACTGTTTTAAACCTTTTTCAACCTAGCTTAATCACTTAGGATTATATCGTTTGTGACTCTAGTTCCTTGTGGGTTCGATCCCTAAGTGCTACGATTGAACCTCTTATTTGAGAGAGTAAAATCACTCCTTAGGTTAAACATTTGAGTGACATCATGGGTGTATAAGCTTATTTTTACCATTTGAGATACTGAAAGTTTAGTTTTTTTTATATGTAAAATTTTCAATATCAAAAATAACTATGGGTGCACATGCCACCACACTCCGTAACGTGGCTTCGCCCCTGCCATTAGGATTATACAAATATATCGTGTACCTTCGATCTCTGTGGATTTGATCCCTAAGTACTTCAATCGATCTCTCTTGGCAAGAGTAGTTGTAGTTGAGTTTCATAGGGTATTTTGATAGAGTAGATTAGGATTTTTAAAACCCTGAAAGCAGTCATGTCAATGTGCTTGTTTATGTGGATGACCTTTTAGTCACTGGAAACAACATGAAACTGATTCAACATACGCTGATGCCTCTTGCTCAACGCTTCTATGTCAAAGATCACAAAGAATTTCATTATTTTCTCGGAATTGAAGCATCCATGACCACCACTGGCCTCCTCTTATGTTAGAGAAGTTACATTCGATATGCTTGATAAAACCAAGATGATGGGTGATAAACCAGTTTCTACTCCTATGTCCACTTCACCAAAGTTCTTACTTCACTCGGGTACGATTGCAGGATTCCACGGAATACAGAAGCACTGTTGACAGCTTCCAAAACCTGGCATTTACTAGACCTGATAGCTCATTCACTGTCAACAAACTCTCTCAGTTTATGCACTCTCCAACATACAATCACTGGAACGCAGTTAAGTGCCTACTTCGTTACTTGGCTGGAATGCCTGACCATGGAATTTTCCTTATGCGAGGTAAAATTAATATTCTACATGCCTTTTCTAATGTTGTCTGGTCAGGGGATGCAGATGATTACATATCCAGCGATGGTTACGTAGTTTACATTGGAAATCACCATGTCTCATGGTCCTCCAAAAAACAGAAGACAATAGCGAGGTCCTCAATTGAGGTTGAGTACAAGTCTGTTGTCAATGCTTATTCAGAACTCAAGAAGATCACATCACTACTTCAGGAGATTCACATATCGTTCAAAACACCTCCAACAATCTACTGTGACAACATTGGGCAACATATCTTTGTGTCAATGCCATTTCTTACTCAAGAATAAAATGTATTGCATTGGATTATCATTTTATCATGGGTCAAGTTCAGTCTTGTGCTCTTCGTGTGGTTCATATCTCGACAAACGATCAATTGGGAGACATCATGACTAAGCCACTCTTAAGGCCACACTTCGCAACTTTTACGAGGAAGATTGGAGTGATGAAACGGCCCCTCCATCTTGAATCATGCAAGTGATTGATTCCATGATATCTTAGATTGTGGATACAAAATATATTCTCATTTAATGTACATATAAGTCCCTAATGTAGTACTATGTATATATACTTTATACATCCTTTCGTAAGTAAAATAATATTGATTACATCTTTACATGAAGTAGTTCAATGTCCCTTCCTATTCCTAAGACACCATTTCCACATACATTTGTGCCTTCCATGTCCCATATGCTGCTTTGTATAACCTTCCATACCCCGATGGCATACAACACCAGTTATAGGTAACATATACTCCTACATAGCGAGGGACAAGAAAAATGCTTCCATCATCATTCTCGTTTTTGGCCATAAATATAGTTGACCCTCGCTTAGCTAAACACTTAATTGTGTCATAGAAATCAAGATCAGTTAAAGCTAGCATGATAAATTGAGGGAAATTCTCATTAACCATTAACAGAAAATCAATAATTTCCTAATCTGATATACCACTCAAACTTTCAAACGGAATCTCTTTAGTGTAAGTATCCAAACGGGTCTCAGACTGAAACCCAAAGAAATCAATAAAACCACATCTTATGTTTTTCTGTAGAGTATCATGGATACAAAATATATTCTCATTTAATATACATTAGGGTTTGGCCCGCCCTACGGGAGGGTTAGCATCCAAAATTACATATCATCAATTTTAATGAATATTTCAGAATATTTCTCTTACTTTAATTTAAATTATTCTTAATTTTCACGATATAAATTCTGTTATTTTATTATTGATTATGTTTATCGTAATTGAAATGAATGGATTGAAATTTTGTTTTTAAACGTTTTTCCTTTAATACAATGAAACTATTTTGTAATTAGTGAATGGTATACATATAACTACTGTGGTTTAAGTACTTCAAATTACAGTTATAATACAAATAAATTTTACATAAAAGTATAAACTTTTGTTTATTAAATGTTAGAAATGAGAGAGCTTTGGCATTTGAAGACAGCAAGAACCATCCTGGCCTCCCATTGGAGCTCTGGTGAATAACTGGAAAGAAGAACGATGTACATCTCGATTTGATGACTCAGCAAAAAAATATTGACCTCTAACTCTGGGCCAAACATACTAAAAGTCCAATATTAAATATTCTGAAAATCCCAACAAAAAGTACAGACGCTAAGTTATAATTACTCGCAGGAGAAAGAGGCTGACGTGGCACAATTTCCACGCTTTACAATACTGATACGTGGCAGCACCAATGAAGAGATCATTCTACTTTATATAGATAGATTAAATGTTAGAAATGAGAGAGTTTTGGCATTTGAAGACAGCAAGAACCATCCTGGCCTCCCATTGGAGCTCTGGTGAATAACTGGAAAGAAGAACGATGTACATCTCGATTTGATGACTCAGCAAAAACATATTGACCTCTAACTCTGGGCCAAACATACTAAAATTCCAAATATTAAATATTCTGAAAATCCCAACAATAAAGTACAGACGGTTAGTTATAATTAATCGCAGGAGAAAGAGGCTGACATGGCGCAATTTCCAGGCTTTACAATACTGATGACGTTGCAGCACCAATGAAGAGATCATTCTACTTTATATATATAGATATGAAGCCCTAACATAATACTTTGTATATAAACTATTAACAACCTTTCATAAATAATATAAGATTGATTATATCTTTACATAAAGTAGGTCAATGTCCCTTCCTATTCCTAAGGCACCACTTTTACATACTCTTGTACCTTCCATGTCCCAACGGCTGCTTTGTATAGCCTTCCACACCTCGATGTCATACAACGCCAGTTATAGGTAACAAATACTCCTACATATCGAGGGGTAGGAAAAATGCTTCCATCATCATTCTCGTTTTTAGCCAGAAATATAGTTGACCCTTGCTTAGCTAAATACTTGGTTGTGTCATAGAAATCAGCATCAGTTGAAGCTAGCAAGATAAACTTATGAAAATTCTCATCAACCATTAACAGAAAATCAATAATTTATGAATTTGCTATATCACTCGACCTTTCAAACGAAATTTGTTCAGCGTAAGTATCCAAACGGGTCTCACACTGAACCTCAAAGAAATAAGTATAATCACATCTTACGTTTCTCCGTGGAGTAACATGGAAGATGGAACCTTGACCCAATAGCAATGTTCGTTAAACAGCACCAAAATGAGTTCTAAGAGCGAAGATATGCATGTGCTGCCGTGCACTAACATTCTATGGATTCTCTTGTTTCAAAGCAAGCTCAATCTTATCAACAACATCCCCGGTTTAATGTATATCATGATTATACTTGCAGTTATCTGCATCCCATACCCAATCGATTTCCTGAATCATTCTTGTTACTATTCAACTAAAACAAGCGGTACAAGTAATAAAAATTATTAGAACCAACAAATGAATATATGAAATGGTAAACACAATGAAACAAAATGGATATAGATCTACAAAATCTAGAAAATAAAAAAAAGGGTTGGGAGGAGACCTTGAAGCAGCAGAGAGGCATGGAGAAAGAGAGCCATAAACAAAATCTATCCGGCTAAAACACTAAAGACTATAAACATCAAAGGTTGTAAACTGTTTAACCGGTTTGTACAGGATCAAAATTTTAAAATGGGTCGGGCAGAACAATTATCACTTTGAGATAGACTTAGGTTAAAATCAATTGCGAAATGAGCCAAACCGGACAGTTATCACTTTGATTTGGACTCATGCTAGAGTGAGCCACTTAGTTGCTTAGTCTTGGACAGCTCTGTGCCCATAATACGAGTAAACTTATTTTTATTTTATTTTTTTTTAAACTTCTTTGTTTATTTCATAACTGACGCATATACAGGCTAAGATCATACTTTCAAAGAAACTATACCAAGGACTTAACAATGCCCTCAAAAAAAACTCAACCAAGTACCCAAGGGAGTAGATGAAGAACTAGAAGTGAAAATCATGTTTCTAGATAGTGGATCCAATCTCAAACGTAATGTGTTGCTAACCTCCAGGATTACACTTTGAGCAGGCCTGCAGATATTTGTATGCAGCCGAGAGTTTCTCTCCTTCCAAACCAAATATATAACTACCTGAAAAATCAACTTAGTGATAAGAAGACAATTAGCATCAGAGGTACGAGCTTTTAACCATCTCAGACAATCCTCAAACAGCAGGAGGTGTCATCTGGAGGCGGGAGAAAAATTGATTCAACTCTCAGCACTAAAAGTACAATCGAAAAATAGGTGTTGCCTACTTTCATCAAAACCCGAGCAAAGCAAACAGCTTGGAGAAACATTAATTCCCCATCTCCTCAATCTATCTCTCGTTGCTAATCTATTCCAAACAACTAGCCATGAAATAAAGGCATGTTTAGGGACTCTACCTTTAAACCATATTTGAGAATGCCAAAAGATTGAAGGATTAGGCGGGTGTAGAGATAGCCAAGTCCTAGCTGTAGAGAAGCGATTAGAGGGAGAATCATTTCCCGCTCTCCATAGGTAAATGTCGTCACTGGACGATTGCACTATAGGACTAGACTGCTCCGAGAAGCACTCAACCACCAATCACCATTCACAAGCGCCTCAGCTAATGTCGCCTCCTTATGCAGACCCGAGATTGCAGGCCCTCATTCACCAGTAAAATAAATCAAAGGTCCAAGATCTGTCCAATTATCGTGCCAGAAGCTAGCTGTGCTCCCCGAACCTACCTCGCAAACAACAAAAGGTCTCGCGATAGATCTCAGCTTGCAAAGTTTCTTCCAAATCCAACTGTCTCCTCTGCGAGGATTCAATTCCCAAAAATTGACAGATCCTCTGCGAGTAAACTTATTAAAAAAAAAAATTAGATCGTTTTTATTGTAGTAACCAAAATTGTATCAAACAATTGAACAAAACCCAATTAGAATATAATTATATCAAACCGAATCGTCCAGATACACGACTATTCTTCATAATCGTCCAGATACCAGAAGATATAAGCTAATGAGGTTAGCGGCTTGAAACTCATTTGGTGTCTGATATCTCAGAAGATTTCATTATGGGCTAAGTGGATCCATACGTATCTGATACGTCAAATTAATAAGAAAGCACATCACTTGGCCCCTGGTTGTGGCACAAACTGTTAAAGTACAGGATAAGGCTAGGCAATTTCATTGAATGGAGGTTAAAAACGGTCGCTCTACGTTTTTTGTGGTATGAAAAATGGTCGCATATGAGACGTCTGTTTGACATGGTCGGATAAAATATCAATTTTTTTATCAAAACAAAATAAAAAGATCCGGGGGAAAAAAGACATGAACTGTGACTTTGACTCTGTTGGTGAGTGTGAAAAGGAAAGTACATTTACACTTGAAGCACATAGATCGGACGAAACCAAAACCTCACGGATTCTCTTACATATCCACCGCCCTGCACTTTCACATCTTCTTCTTCTTCTTCAGATTCTTGTCTGAGAAACTTCCTTCCATATTGTTTCAAGATGCCGATCAACAGAGACCCATCAACACCTCCCCCTGTCATCGGCAAAATCGGACCTTACACTGTCTTCATGACTCCTCCCGCGACTCCAAACCCACCTGAATCTCCTGCCGATGTCTCTCAAAAGCACATCGCTCCACCGCCGGTTCTTCCTCCGCCGCAGCAGTTTAAATCGGTGGCTTCCTCTGAACCGGAAGGCTCAGTTTTAGGGTTCTTCAAGAACGCCGTCACAAAGGTTCAAAATGGTATGAAACGAGAGGAATCCGAGGGAAAAGTTTCCGTATTTTCGGATCTTGCGTTTTGAAATTGCATTTCTTGATTTAAAGATTCTATGTTTTATGAGATAATTAGAAAGTAAATTATTGCTAATGTACCATGCATTGTGGCGTTTCTGTGGCTTGGTCCTAACAGTCAAATAATAGATTCTAACTTTGACATTCTTATGTGTGTGTGCGCTAAACCATATTACGACAGCACATTCAAGCGTGGATGATCATTTGGTGAGATGGTTTGGGTTAAACCAATCCAAGTACCAGTGGGCTTTGGATGAGTACTACGAAGGCAAAGGATCTGTAAGTGTTCCTTAATCCTTCCATAGATTGTCGTTTATTGTTTCCTTATTTTGATTCTTGGTATGTTTAGTTGAATTTTCTATGTACCAGATTCTATCCATATTAACTCCCTTTGTTCACTTTGGGTAAACTTTGTTGCTAAGCTAGTTTTAGGTGTTTTTTTACGCTTTACTTGTTGTTTTGCTTCTAAGCTAATGTTTCTCAGAAACATAGCAATTCGTCTTTTTTGTATTCTTTTTACACATAAACGCAGGAAATGAAGAAGAGCGTGAAAGCCAAGGAGATGTCGGGGAAAGCAGAAAGCGTTTAAG